TAGAAGATTTATTTGGATTTTTAATTTGCTATTCATTTATTCACTCATTTTGTAGTTTCAAGTACTTAATAGTTGATGGGTAGTGCATGGTTGTGATAGTGAAAATATAATAGCATTACTGCAAGAGAAAATTTGATACTGTGGAATTGTAGCTGAACCAGAGAAGTTTGATACTTCTTTCTGGCACTAATCAAAGGTTCATAGGAAACTCAAAAGAGAATACTAAAGCAAAGATATCATTGGGATGATACTCAGGAAGTATGTCTGGTGAAATGAAAGCAATGTTTCATTAAAGTTAAGCTATCAGAATCTTTAAAAAAATGAAAAACAATTCAAATGTTCTTATGTGGGTGAAAGGATAAAATTACTGGTTGCATCCACAGAATGGAATATTACTTGGCAATAAAAAGACATCAATTATTGATTCTTGCTGTAGCAAGAATCTTGCTACAGCAAAATCTTGTTACAACAAGAATCTTGTTGTAATGTGGAAGAGTGTCAGTGAATTATGCTAAAAGAAATAAGCCAAACTCAAAAAACTACATGCTGCCTGAATCCATCTGTATGTTATTTTGAAAAAATGAAATCTATTTTAAAAAAGGGGGGGTAGATTATAGGTTGCTAGGGTCTGGGGTTAAGCAATGCTTGACTATAAACCATGAGAGAATTTACAGAGGTGATAAAAGGCGTTTTATAGCAAGAAGGTGGGGTACTTGTATGGCTGTGGACTGTGCTGAAGCTTAGAATGACATAAAAATGATGACATTTCTTGTATACAACTCTACCAAAAACATAGGCTTGGGGTCAGGAGTTCCATTTGCTAGGTTCAAGTCAAATCTCTCTTCTGTTTATTTGTTGTATCTGGGCAAATGACTTTGCTTATTGAGCCTTATTTTAAAGGCACCATTTATAATACAAGTATTATAATAATATTCACCCCATCAAGTTGTCACAAAGATTAAGTGAAGTAATCTGTGTGAGTTTCCAGACACAGTGCCTGAACTGGATTCACTTTCAGCAAAATGAAATCACGAGTCCTCACAAATGACAGCCACATCTTTTCTGCGGCTGCCTCTGTTGCTGTGACATGGATCCTGCTAGCGCCCTCTCATATCCTCATGCCACCTGGGATTGGAATAGCCACCTTGGTCACGCCACCACCCCACCCCGCTACTTTTACCAGCTGCTGGTACTCATATCTGCTCCTTACACCTTGTTTCTTAGTGGCAGCCACATACTGTGCTTGTCAAGGCCAGAAAGAAAGAGATGACAGCACACAATTCAATCATCACTCACTACTGATTTATTCATGATGCCTGACTTTTTCCTCATCCAAAATATCAAAGAATGTCATTTATAAACAAAAATAAGAAATTCGCAGGAGAATCTAGGCCGCTGCTTCTGTGTAATTCATTTCAAAGCATTATTAAGTTCTGAAAACTATTCTTAGCAGAATTATTTGGTAGTGTAGAGAGTTCAGTTAGTTTGGAGGTCAAAAAAATGGAAATTTCTTTCTTCCAATATCAAGGCTAATGGTGAGGAACCGTGGCACGGATTCTCTAAAACAAAGGATAGCACCCGGATTCTCTACACGGTGTACTACTTCACTTTGGAAAGCATTATCATTCCTTTTTCCAGCAGATTGCTTTTCTAATTATATTTTGCTTATGTCATCGACATTACTTTGCATTTTCTGAGAACTCAACAAAGGACACTGAGGATAGGAAGTAGCAAAATGACCTAGAAATGGGATTCATCTTCTAGAATGCACTATTTTGCTTCTTTGACTTGTGTACTTAAGTCCAAACCCAAAAGAAATGAATTCATCTCATAAACCTGGTCTTACAAAAGATGGAACGATGATGATTCTATAGTGTCAACATATTCCACTTTATTGACCATTCACACCTTAGAGAAAATAAGCTCATAGATGATTGTTCATGGTGATGGGGTAGGGAAGATAAGAACTTTAGCCATATGCACAGAGACAGAGATATTCACTTCTCAGGGTTTTAATGACATAGAAAATAGTCATGCATGCAAGTCCCCAAGCCAATTTTTCCTACTTATAATTGTAAACATTCAACCCTCAGATTATAAAATGGCTTGGCTTTTGCAAAAAACATAATTATAACATGCACATATAATAAAATATTATCACATAACTAAATAATACTTCTAGTCTTGGATTAAAAAAAGAGCAAGATTCTGACACTCAGCCAATAACACAATCTCACATCAGATACAAATAGCATTACTTGAGACTTTCTGGAGAGTATATACTCATGCACAAATTCATATGTGTACACACATACCAGGTCCACAGACCTTTGATCTTTTTTATAAATAGATCAATAATTTAAATCCATTAATTATCTGTAAACTGTCATGATGTAGCATTCAAGTTATTTTTTAGGTAACCAAAGAAGAATGTATACAACTGACAATGTGCTTTGATCACCACACCCAACACCACACTTTATTTCAAGTATGTGTCAGTACCCTTTAATCTTGGACAAAGATGAGTCTCTAGTAAAACTTTTCTTACAGCTTTCTTAGTAAAAGCAGATACTACAGAGTACAAAAACTTATAAGAACAGTATAGTATATTTTCTATGGTAGTCTCTAAGAATGGCCATTATTAATTTCCCTTCCCATTCTATTACCATCAGGGAGAAGAGTATATTTATCCCCTTTTTAAATATGGATAGGCAGTCTGATTTGTATAACCAAGACAATTTGGTGAAAGTGATTCTTTGGATTTCTGAGGCCAGAACTAAAAAGATAGAACTTGCTTCCTCCAGGCATAAAAACCAGGCCACCATGAAGAGGCCATCATGCTATAAGTAGGTAGTCATGTGGAAAGACCAGACTGAGAAGCATCAAATATACATGTGAGTGAATACAGGTGAGGGACCACTCTGGTGAACCTACTGAACTTATTCTGATTTTAAGCCCCTTTGTTTTGGAACGGCTTGGTATACAGTAATACATAGCAGCATTTTCCTGCCCTATTTGTCATATATGTGTCCCCTCCAACAAGAATTAAAAGAAAGTCAAACAAACATACATGTCGATAATTAAGAAAGCGTACACATTCATAAGTGCAGTAATAGCTTTCATTAAGATCTAAGTTACAAATTTTCAAATATAATTAATCTTTCATTTTAAATTAAACCATCATGACTGAAAATTTTTGTATTCAGAAATCAGCCTCCACATTTATTAGGTTTGGGAGATTCCTTTTCTGGGTGGTACCTCATTCTTCTAATATAAGCTGAAGGCAGCAATAAAATCAGAAATGCATGTAATTGAAAAGTACATCCATCTATTCATTCATGTTGTTTTCTCTGATCCACATTTAAAAAAATTTATGAGCTCACTTGAAAAATGTGAAAGAAAAAAATCAATAGAGTAACCATGATTTATAAAGGTGAAACATTCACGTCATGAATATTTCATCAAGGAAATGTGGAAGCCATCAGATTTTATCTTAGTGTATTTCTCAACCTGATGTGATTAATTTGTAAATGAACTGACATCCATTATTAATGGAGATGATCACTAGGTACATGGGAACAGCGTGAGTGCTACAGAATAAGCACTATTTTTAGGAGGCTTCTAGAGTTTTGGGAATAAGCTAGGACAAAGGTGAGTAGGTGAGAAGAGGATAAGATTTCCTTCATGTCTTGCAGAGGAATTTCAGAGTGAGTTAAATTCTTTACTCTGCAGGAGAACTTGACCAAACACCTCTTTTTCCCAAGGGTGGATCAGATGCCTCTGTCAGAAGCCAATCCAGTGAAGAACTTAGTCAACAATTATTTGTCTTGACTGTAGTTCAAGCTTTTCAAATACCCAATTGTATTCAAGCTCTTTTACTCAGCTCTATAGGCTCTGGAGAAATTAATGTACAACAGGGAGAAAGCAAAGAACATTTTGTGGAGAAATAAACTGACCACATTCAACAGACTCATAGTCAAGCAATTAGTGATACAATCAGTGACACAAAAAACATCCATCGATCCCCAATAGAGCAGAAGGCAGCACAAAGAACACGGTAAATTAGAAGCAGATCAAAAGAGAAGCATATTCAATAAAGAACTCAGGCAGAATGCTGCCAAGGCCAGCTCAGCACTGAGGTTTCAAACGGGAAAGTTACGGGGGCTGGATCAGCCAAGCTGCGCGCTGCCCTCAGTGCAGTTTTCAAAGGTGGCCCACACTGATGAGATTTCAGTCACAAGCTATTAATTTCTTTGAAGAAATCCAAAACTTTCCAAGAGTCACTGGGAAGGACGTAAAAAGGGTCAGAAGTTAATTTAGCAGCAGGGACACTCAGTGGATCTAACATGTTTCCTTGCAGAGGAAATTAATCATGGATTTGAAGGCAGTCTTTTTATGGCTCCAAATAGCAAAGTCTGTACAGGTGTTAGTACCTCCATTAGTGAACTCCTCAACCCAGAGCTAAAAGCAGTCTATTTGCATTGATGTCAGATCAGCAAAAAGCTTGAAGAGGGTGGGGGAGTAGATTTAATTATGGTGAAAGGGACATCGGGCATAATGAGAAGACTTATCAGCAGAAGGAGGCACATACATGGTGTATATCAGCCTTCCTGATTCTCCTTGGCTCCCTTCCATGGGAGGAGAGAACTGGTGGGCAAAGCATGAATATTGAGTCAGATATGGGTAGCAGAGACTTGTAAAAATCTACAAATCCAAAAATGTTCCCCAGTATTTCCCTCTTCTACTATGTGGGCAGGTAATACTTATTGCATGTATGTAAATAAATATATGTTCCATTTACAAACTCTGAGAAGAAAAATGGAATCTGTATTGTCTATTCTATCCTTGCTATTTAGTCACAAGTAAGGACTCAATAAGGAAAATAAATATAGTATATAAATGAAACTTTAAGTCTTCTAGAAATACAAGGCAGAATCAGATTTTTACTTAACTAGTTTTCTTTCTTTGATTACAGTAACCAGTTCTGTCTTTCCTTCTAGAATGAATTGACTTGGAGTCATTGTGGCAAGGAATAAAAACCAAAAAGGTAAAAACACAGCAAGACAAACAAGCTTAGGAGATGGACAGAAGTAAATTTACATTCTTATTGTTGGAGTTTCGCTAACTTTTTGAGGCTTAGACATTTCACTCCTTTGGATTTTAAACTCAGCATGAAAGTTAAGAAAGCAGATGACAGGAATGTTATTATGCTCATGTGTGCTTTCCAGGGCCAATGTTCTATATTTTTCCTAAAACGCTATGCTTTTTAGAGCAAGTTATGGAACTTATTAGTACCTTCATGAGATGAAAGAATCATAATGTGTGAGGGATAATGAATAATTTCAACTCTAAAAATAAAACAGAAAAGAATATTACTACGTATCTGGACCAACACCATACCTTTAGGAAGATAAATCAAAATATTCTGGATTAATTGGGGACCCATCTTTCATAAGCATTTCCATTTATTTCCTCAGAAGCTGATCTGGAATTGCTTAACTGACTGCCAATTTAAAAGCTCTAATCTCTCTCTCCCCTCTTTCCCTCTCCCTTTTTATGTCTGTCAGTCTTCTGTCTGTAGCTTATACACTCACATGCACACACACATGCACACCACCTCCACACCATACCAGAAAAATCCCCAGATGCAACCTTTGAACAATCAAGGAATTAAAAACACCCGCAGCCTCAGAGGTGTTTCCTGGCCCGGTTGCTAGCCAGCTGGGCCTGAGGAGGAATGGCTTCTCTCTCTCCTTCGCTCCCTGTTCACTCAGCAGCAGGTTATTCTGACTTTATTTGAGTGGTAAAGGAATTTATAAGTAAAAACTGCAATCTTCATACTTGCTAAGGGCCCTATATTCTTGTTACACACATGCCATTCTGCAGTCTGCTAATTGGAAAATTGCTTGAAGCTAAGTAGCTAAAATGGACTAAATAAAAACAAAGCCTGATTTCTTTTTGCCTTTCTTCATTTGCCTCTCCTTCATCCTTCCATCATTAACTGGCTGCCAAAATGGCTCAAATTGTAAACCTGGATGAAAAATGTGCAAAATGTCCTCTAACCAAGACACTGACAGTTTAGAATGTGTCATTTTAGACTTACAGCCTGTTATAACATTTGATTCACCTATCAAAAGGGAAAGATCTATGCTAGTTTTTTCCCGTTCATTAGGAAAATCCATTTTAAGGTCTCCAGGCGGTAAATTATTTTTAGAATTAGTTTTTATTTTATTAGTCGAGTTGCAGAGTGTCAGAATGGCACGGAAGCCGGTGGCACTTTACCAAGCTTATTAATATTGATATGATCACTCTGTGCTCTGTGCCGAGCGACACAGCTAACCTTCCAGGATGGCGAGGATTCTTTTTAAAGAGACCACACATTTTTAAAACAGATCTTCAGGTCTTTTCTCCTGGTGTGGTGAGAAGGGCATGCACAATATCTGCCTCAGTTTTCTGTGATTCAGCTCCTTCAACGAACGCTTCCTAAGCATCAGCTTAGGACTCATACTAGGCTAGACACTGGGGCTGCAAGTGGACTTCAAAATGCAGCCCCCTTGTTCAAAGAGGTCAGATGATTTTGTTTCAGACCCTGTGCTGGGAGCTGCAGAGCATTTTAAATGGTTATGCTATTATTGCTATAGTTGAGAGACTAAGTATTAGAGGAGATGAAAGAATCACTCCATTATAAAGACCCCCAAAGGGGTCAGTGAAATGAGAGATTATGTCATTAGGAAACAAGTCTTCAAGGACAGATGAGTTTGAGTAGGGCTTGGAAGGATAAATGTATTCTGCAAGATGGATATTAGGAATACAGGCAGAGTGCAAAGGACAAGTAGATGTTCATGGGGGAATAATACAAGGAAAGAGATGCAAATCTAATCAGAAATTAGTTTAGAGAATCGCAACTAGATGCATTTAAACAGTAAGGGTGTGATTAGGGATATATTGTGACTGATAGGAGAAATTGGCTGTGGCCACGTGACTGAAGCTAGAATTCCAAATGGAGTGATCTGAAATAAATTTCCACAAATCATCTACATCTTCAATCAAGGAATCAAATTTATTTGTAACAACAGGTTTTGATACAGGTTTAGTTTAGTCATTGTATAGACAGATTTTTTAATTTATTACATAATTCTGAATCTACTACTTTATTTTAGAGTAACTGAAACTCAAGTTGTCATTTTTGGTATAACCTACAAATCAAATAATAGTAATTATGCAAGGTTTGGTCAACATTCTCAAGAGTAAAAGAGAAGAGGACATTTTGCAATTTATATTAAAAGTAAAATCAAAAATTTCTTAAAATTTACTTAGTGTGATCAAATACATTATTGACAGCACATCATATATCTATAACTGATATTTCAATAGGAAAATTCTGAAAGCTTTCTTGTGGCATGAAAGAATAAAAGATGAGGTCATTTGTACTGAGTTACTCAAAATTATGGTTTTAATCCACAAAAATCTTGGACCTAGTCTCTAATCATGGGCTTTCTAATCACAGTGAAAATTCAAAATTCATACAAATTATTACAAGTTCATTTTTGTTTATTCAAAAATTCTTTCTAGGAATAAGAATACTGTTAGTATTCAGGACAGACATTATATCAATTAAATGAACTGAATACAGTATAACAAACCAATCATAGAAACAGAACTCCTTTACCTTGTAAGATGTAATATGTAAAAAGCAAGGATATGTTAATGGTTCACTCAGTTCTCATCATCTCCTAAATGCTAGCTAAAAAATTCATTAATATTTATTTTCCCAAATGGTTTCTCCTTTTGTCTGATGCACTAGAAAATCATTTCTATTTCCTTCTTTCTTCTTAGGACATGCTTAAAATAATTGCAAGAAGGAGGTGTCTAGGAAGGTGTCAAAAAACTGAGAAGGAAGGATAGACAGAACGATGTTTCCTTAGCTGACCTCCACCAGGAGCCATGTCCTGCTTTGTAAGTCCAGTCCTCTCTTTGTTGGCTGCCTCATTGTCCTTTTTCCAAGTTACAAATAAATAAATAAACACAATGCCTATCCCTTTCCATCTGGAATACATATATTAGTTATATCATAAATGGAAAAAGTCTTCCTCACAAAAGGTAGAGAATATATTGAATATGGCCCAATAGAAGATGAGGCTGGAATGGAAATTATTAGCAATCATGGTAAAGGGCATAATGTATGTGACAAGGAAGGTTGTGGAACAACATATGCGCAGTACAGTCCCATTTTGTCTGGATAGCAAGGTGCCATTGCCAAGTTTTGTTTCATTTTGTTCCATTTTTTCTTTGTATTTCTCCTTTTGGTTTTCTCAGTGGTAGCCTTGGAGCATCCCTTCCCCGTCAATGCTACTTTCCCATACCCATGAAGAATCAGATACAAAGAATCAAAATAATCTTATTAGGCAGAGATTTGTTCTTTGGAGATAAATCTACATGGTCAGGTTTTCACTTCTGAAATGCCAGATAAAACAAAAGATCAGGAAGAAAAGACAAAGAAAATGGCAAATAAAACATTAGGGGAAGTCTTGCAGGCTGATGATAGACATGTTATTCACATACAAATACCTCCTGACTCTTTCTATGGAAAAGAATATATTTTATTCATGATAAATCAGGAGTGGCCATGTGACTGGCTTTAATAAATAAAATATGGGGAGAAATGCCATCATATTAGGAAAAACACTTTGATAATGAACTCATGGCTTGCCAGGTCCCTTTTCATTCTGCTTCCACCAGGACAGATACAGGATGCTTTACAAATCTGCATGCCAAGGTGACCTGGAATGCACATAATTAATGTGGTAGTTAAACTTGTCAACTTGCCTGGATTAAGAGATTCACAGAGAGGTTCACAGAGATTAGATCAGCAAACACTATACTCATCAGTGGATTGATCCATTGATGTTCATAGTTGAATGTGGACTTAGGATGCAGGGCTCTGTTGGAGGTAGGTCATGGGAGACCTGCCTTTGGAGAATATATCTCTTGTTGGTCCTCTTCTCCTATGCTTTGGTCCCCAGCCATGATGCACTGAGCAGCTTTGCTAGGCCATTAATGTTCTTGCCTTGAAGCCTGGTGATCACAGACTGAACCCTCTAAAACCATAAACCAAATTAAGCCTCTCCTCCTCCTTGGGTGGTCATTTTCTACCTACAAAAGTAAAACTATTACATAGAATGAGTGAAAAAATCATGCAAAAAATATTGTAAATAACAGACATTTTTGGCTTCTTTGTTACCACAGTATTGGAGTAATCTCCATTGGAGTAATCTCCGTTTCTATACTGACTCCCTACTGAATGTCCTAAGCTCTGTCTTCTAATTGAGTCTCTATATTATTGCCTTCTTTCTTAGAGAAAAACTTGGAAGCATGCAAGTAGCAAACCCATGAAGGTTTGTCTCAGCACTTACATTCTTACATAGAATACTTCTTAAATATAACAATTTAATTTAAAAAACACCCATTGATGAGACTGTGTGTCAAATATCAAGTGAAATTCTGAAAAGGGATGAAAACATGAATAAAATTTAAGTCCTCACTGTATTAGTCTACTAAGGCTTCCATAACAAATAGCCAGAGTGGGTAACTTCAACAATTGAAAGTATTTTCTTGCTGTTCTGGAGGAGGAGCAGAACTCCATCCTTAAGGCACTTGCAGTGGTTGTAGCATCCATGGCTTCTCTCTTAGGCCTACTTGGCTCAGTCCTCTGAAGATCAAAGTGTTGTCAGGGTTAATTTCTTTTGTGGCATCTCTCCTTGCCTTGCAGATTCCTATCTTACTGATGTGTCTTTCACATAGTCCCTTTACTCATTGCTTGCTTTCTTTATTCCTTCTCTTAGAAGGATATTGTTTATAATGGATTGAGAGCCACGCCAAGGATGTCATTTAACCTTTATCTTCTCTTTAAAGACTTCATCTCAAAATGAAATCATATCCTTAAGCACTGGGGTCAGAATTTCACCTTATGCATGTTGGATATGTAGACATCATTCAGCCTATTATGCTCATTTTAGATTCTCCCAATCTATTTGAAAATGATGCATGTGAAGAAATAATTATGAATTGATGTTTACTGTAGGATGTACATATAAATCTGTTTGAGAATATAGATGAAGGGCCAACTAATCTTCATTTAGTAAGAAAATAGTTGATATATGTCTTGGTTACTTTTCTCTCCTTGCTGACATCCAAAATGAAGTTAGGAAAAGTTTATTGAGCTTACAGTTTGTGAAGGTTTCAGTCCTTAGTCAGCTGGCTTGAAGATAGGGTGGCACAGCTGAGGGACAGTTGTTCATGATGGTTGCAGCCAATACCAAAAACAATAAGAGTAAAAGGGCAAAAAAGCAAAAGAGAGGATCGAGAGAGAAGACTCTTTCTGTCCTTTATATTGTATGTAGGCCACACTCATACTAGTGGTGGATGTAGCACTTACAACTATAATCCCAATATGGGACCACGAATCTCTCAAACTCTAGAAGCCCAACCCTATGACTGCGTGAGGCTTTTGGGGGACATCCAGACATAAAACATAACATTACACCCCTGATGCCCCACAAAGACTCACGCACATCCTTTATGCAAAAGGAATTTAGTTCATCTCTAAGAGTTGCAAAAAGCCTAACAGTTTTAGCATTGCTGGACAGTCCAAATCCTAAGTTTCCTCCAGTATATAAAACAAACTTTAAGTTATAAGCCCTTGTACAAATGAAAAGTTAAAAACTTCCAATAGTCAATGGCACAAGATAAACATTTCCAATCAAAAAGGTATAAATGGGAATATAAAGGAATGGGACCAAAGCAAATCCAAAATCCAGCAGGGAAAACATTAAGTCCTATATCTCCATGTAGAACATCCAAAGAAATCTATAGTAAGCTCTGAGCTCAAAAGTCTTGTGTAAATCCATCCTTAAGGCACTTGCAGTGGTTGTAGCATCCATGGCTCCTCTCTTAGGCCTAATCTGCTCAGTCCTTGCAGCTCTCCTTAGATGATGTGCATTCTTGACTTTTCCAAACTTCTGGGTCTCCACTGTACTTTTGGCTTCACCCTCACAGCTTCACACACTACCCTTTTGGGGGCTGCCTAAGCTCCCAGCCCTTTGAAGTTGGGATGGAAGCCATCTTAACCTCAGAACTCTTGCATTCTGCATGCACCAAAACCCAGCATCATGTGGATGATGCCAACATCTGCTTCAGGCTGGAGCAGTAATCACACTTTCTTCTCTCTTGGCTGTAGGAATTGAATGCTTGGACCACTAAGCACTCTGAACGTGATTCAGAGAAACAAATTATCTACCCTGCTACCATTCTGGTACATGGTGCAGCCACTGCCATTTTGAAACCTAGTGGGCTGCTGGTGCCATTTTGGAGCCTGGTGCAGGCACTATCACCATTCATTAATATAGTGTGACTGCCACCATTCTAGAACATAGTACACTGTGTCTTTCTCCTCAAAGAAAAATCTTTCACTTTTGCAATTTTGAGGCTACAAATGGTGGAAACTTGATGCTTCTTGTGATGTCCTCAGATCATCTTCTGTCTTTTCCTGTTCCTTCTCAACAATCAAGATCTTCTCTGCTCTATCTTTGCAGTGCACAGCTTGATTGGAGCTTATTTTCTGGCCAAACTCATGATGCTTTAAATTATTCTACTGGGCTTTTTGCTCTTGATTCTCAACATAAATCTAGCTAAAAATCCCTATTAGTAGCCATGCCACCACTTCAGCATTAGAGAGCCTTAAAATTTCTTCACCCAGATTAATTAGCCCTCCACTTTTAATCTTAGTCTTGGCCAAGATCTCTGGAGATGTGAAAATCCAGACAAACTTTCTTCCAATCCATTACACATATCATCAGGAGTCCAAAAACCAATGTCGTCCTTCCCAGCAGAAAATTCCAGAGCTTGGTGTTTACCAGCCGAATTTCTATCAGCCTTCTGGTCTTCTGATCTCTGACTAGAATATCCCATACAGTAGAGTCTAAGATACTATAGCTTTATTTTTTCAGCCAGCATCTCAACCTTTCCAAATTCTTCCTACAAGCCATCCCCATGGTAAGTCACAGCAATAATCCCACTTTAGTGATACTAAATTCTGTCTTACTTTTCTTGTTGCTGAGACAAATGTCCAACACCCAAAGTCAAAAAAGAGGGAAAACTTTTATTTAGCTCACAGTTTGTACCTCTTTCAGTCCATAATTGGCTGGCTCCAAGGCAGGGTGATTTAACAGAGGAGAACAGTCATGGCAGGTGGAAAGCAGCAAAGCAACAAGCTGGAGGTGATGGTGGTGGTGGTGGAAAGACTCTTTCAGTCCCTTATATATCGTATCTAGACTGCTGGGATTAGAGCAATGCCAAACTAATCAGTGAAATTGATTTGGTAATATACATCCTTAATCCCAGCATCATACACTAGATTCGGCCACCTCCAAAAGAGCCTAAGACTACATGAAGCTTTAGGAGAACATGTAGACACACACTGTAACAATAACCTTATGCTTGGTGTCCTAGAGGTCTTAGTTCCATAGAGAAATTTGTGCCAGGAAGCTAAGACTACTCCATGATCATTTTTGTCTCTTTATGTTTCACAATTTACAAGCTCAAAAGGGAATTATGATGTTTGTTGAGAAGGGTTCTTGATTCAGACTACTAAGAGAAAATCAGACTATTATTTCACAGTAGAAAAAGGGAAGAATATATTTAGAGTACAGAAGACCTCTCAGATACTTCCTATTATTACTATGCCCTGCTAGTTTTGTTGTGTTTCGTTTTGCTTTGGTTTTTGAGACATGATCTTACTATATAGTTCAGGATGACCTCAAACTCTCAATCATCTTCCGGCCTCAGCCTCCTGAGCACTGGGGCTATAGGTGTGTACCACCATGCCCAGATAAAATGCCCTTTTATTAAGGTGAGTGGGAAACTACAATAATACAATCTAGGCAGGATGACAAGACCCAGAACTTTCAGGAGTGAAGATCATCTTCTATCTTTTCCTGTTCCCTACAAGGAAAAACAAAATAAAATAAAACAACCCTGCTGAGGTCCT